AAAAAATCCTTTTCCTATCCATGGTGTAGAAATACATCTTTTCCTGCATTAGGGGTAAGAAATTTCTTCCGCTTCTAATATTAAGCCAAAGCAACCAAACTTTGAGGAAATTGACTCCTTCTGAAAAGTTATTTTTCTAATTACCTATTGCTTTGTAACAAATCATCTCAAAACTTAGAGTGGTGGAAAACAATCATCATTTAATCATGCTCATGGATTCCATGGATCAGCAATTCATAGGGCACAGAGGGAAGACTTTTCTCATTTCATGATGTCTGAGCTTTAGCTGAGAAGACTAGAAAAGCTGGGAGCGACTCAAGTGGAAGGGCTGGAATTATCTGGGGGCTTTTCTCATCACATGTCTAGTGTCTGGATTGAGAATACCAAGATGACTTGTAGTAAGATGCATCAACTGAGCACATGGCCTCTCCCTGGGGCTTGGGTTTCTCATGATGCAATGACTGGGTTCTGAAAGAAACATCCCTCCAGACAGCAAGCATGGCAAGACACCAAGTCAGAATGTCATTTCACCTGTATTCTAGTGGCCAAGCAAGTTCAGATTTAGGTAAAGTCAGAGCAAACTGAGGGGAAAGGAATCTCGCTCCACCTCTTAATGTTAAGGAAACTGGCCAGGTTCTGATTGCAGAAAAGCACGTGGAAGGCTGACCCTAAAAATACAGTTCACCTCAGTCATATTGGCTCAGAGGGGCAAAAGGGTTTTTAATGAAGTGTTTAGCAAGGTGGTGGAGGGGGCTATTTCACGTTAAGTCATTGTCTTCTGGGCCTTTACTAGGTGCTTTTCATCCATTCTTACTCAGCCCTTCCAAAAGAGCCATTCTTTGTCTTGATCACATCCCCAGTCTTTGTTTTGTCGCTGGCCATGAGTAAAGATGGAAATCACAATCAATATAAACAATCCTGAAAGCGGCTTCCTGGCCGCTGTGTTGGTTTTTGTTTCATCTTTGTTCATCTATATAAACATTCACAAATATGTATGAACAGATCACTACTGATAAGTTTTCATTGAGATGTAATTCACATATTATAAAATTCACAGTACAGTGGTTTTTAGTATATTCATAGAGTTGTACAATCATCACTATCATCTAACTCTAGACCATTGTCATCATCCTCAAAAGAAACCCCTTACCTGTTAGGAGTTAATTTTCCATGCCTCCTTCCACTGACCCTGGCAACCCCTAATCTACTTCTGGCTCTGGATTTGCCTACTTTGGACATTTAAATGAATGGAATCATTCAATACGTAGTCTTTGTGGCTGGCTGTTTTTTACTTAGCATAGTGTATTGTATACATCTATATTGTAAAGTATACATTAGAATTTCATCCATTTTTGTGATTAATATTCTACTTTATAAATATTCCTGGTATAGTTTGTTTATTCATTCATTAGTTGTTGGACATTTGGGTTGTTTCCATTTTTTTGTATTATATATAAGGCTGCTATAAACATTTATGTACAAGTTTTTGTGTGACTATGTTTTCAATTCTCTGGGGCATATACTTATGGATGAAATTGCAGGGTCAAATGGTAACTTTGAGTTTTTGAAGAATGGCCAAACTCTTTTCTACAGCTATTGTACCATTCCATATTCCTACCAGCAATGTATGAGGATTCTAATTTCTCTACACCCTTGGTAATAATTTTTTCTGCTTTTTTTTATTATTACTGTCCTTAAGGGTAAGAAATAGTCCTGTGATTAATTTAAGAAGAGCCTTTCTTTAGGCCATTTACATATTCAGGAAGCCCCCACTGGGATATGAGCCCATGGAGCGCTCACTATGCAGTAGGGTCTGTGCTAAAGAAGTACATGGATCATCTAGTAGAATGTTCACAATAACAACTCTAAAGTAGTTACCATTATTTTGCTTATTCTCTAGAAAGGTTAAGTAACTTGATAGAAAATGGGATGGAGTTTGGGAGACACGAATTTCCCATATTAAAAAATAATCAGAGAACTTGGATATGAAAGCAAGAGTTTGATGGTCCAAATGAGGTTAAAAATATCTTCTTCCCCTAAAACAAACAAAACGCTTTTGGCAAATTGTGCTTGGCAGAAGTTTAGTATGGCTTTCAGCATCCCAACTACTAGTGGCTTTGTATAAGCCTCTATCCTTAAGTGTGGATGTGATTTATGAATATCAGGGATATATGCTCCCTACATTCTCTTAATGTGGCAAAAGGGAGGCAGTGATGGTCTTATCAGTTAATTGAGTTAATCAAAAGGGAAGTTATGCTATGCTGCACCTATCATGTGAATCCTTAAAAAAGTCAAGTGGCGACAGAAACGCTCTGGTTGGCCTTCAAAAACTAGGTCACCGTTAGTCTTAAACTGGCAAGGAAGTGAATATTTTGCCTATAACCACTCAAATAAGCTTGAAAGAGGATTCAGAGTTCCATATCAGAACTCAGCCCTGGCAGTCAACTTGATTTCAGCCTTATGAGCAGAAAACTGCCCCTGAAGTTCTAACCGACTAAACAGTGAGATGATGTGTGTCACCATAGAATGAAACCCCTGAAACTGTGATTGAAAATAAATTTTTCCTCCTCTAAGCTGATTTTCTCAGATATTTTGTCACAGTGACGAAAGGCTAACACAAAGCCTCTCCTGATAACCCTATCCGAACACCTTACATTCCAACATGGTAATGTGCTTATTTCCTTTCTAGCACTTTTTTTTTTCCTCTCCTAAATCCTAACATAGCTGTTAAGAGGAGTCTGGCTGAAGCTAGAATATCTTGGTTCAAATCTCAGCTCTGCTAGTTTCTAATTATACAATGTTTACTATTTATATAGTGTTTAGTATTCTATTACATAATGTTTAACCTCTCTCAATTCCTTAATAAAGTGTTAATCAATCAAGGAATTTGTGTGTATCTAGCTTAAGCTATGACCAGGACTGAAAAGGAAAGGGTAGATATGCACGAGGTTAATGACAGAATCAACAAGGCAATCAGACAAGGGAGGAAAACTAAAGGTAATCCCAAAGGAAGAAAAGACAAGGGAAACTGCTGGATTAAGGAAAGACTGAGAAAATAAAATGATTCCAAAGTTTGTTATCTGAGGGATATGACAGAGGTTAGCGAGCTGATACCAGTTAACTATTCCGGAGGGAAAAGGCGGATTTTTGTCAAATCCATGTTTAAAATGAGTTGGCAACAAGGACACAATTGCAGATATTTGTTTTTAGAGTGCTAGAGTGGAGCGATGTCCTGAATAGAAGAAAGTTCAGAACAGACCAGATTTGGGTGTCTGCCCATTGTGTTAAGGCTGAAATCATGGGAAGAAACCCCACAACATCCCAAACATGGACCTGCATGGAGAAGGACAATTTTCTTGAACGCTTATGACAATGTTCTTATCAGTGGTAAGAGATTCTTAATATACACTGCCTTCAAATGCCTTTTAGGGGATAGAGATTTTCTGAAAAATAAAGCACTGATTTGGTATAAGGAACCACACAGAGTAAGGAGGCATGTGTGCCAATTTAACCTATCATATAACTTTCGGAAAGTAAAATAAACAATGTGTTTCAAGTTGCCTTTATGAGGGGAAGCCTGGGTCATCCCCCTTCTAACAAGACCTCTTGCTATTCAATTTGTAATTGTACCACATTTCTCTTGTTGACATGGTTTCACAGCACTCTTCGTTCCAGGCTAAAGCTTCCTGTCATGACTTTAGGGCATCCTATTTGAAATAACTGGACCTTCTGACCTGGCAATCTGCTAAGACCTTTTTGGATAGCTGAACTGTAGATAAAAATCTTCCAGGGAAGTAGGTGTGGGTAGGATGTGCGGTTTCCCTGCCTCTCATTTGAAGGCTGATTCAGTTAATTTTTCATAAATAGTCTCTTACAGTAAAGTTGATCCCACAGTGTTTTAAGTGAAATTGGAAATTCCATGCTAACTGCTGATCTTCAGTGTGAGCTGAGATGAGGGCACTGTCTTTCTGAATGGCACAGAAATGCAGAGCAGGTAAACTATGCCCCCTATTGTAACCTAAATCCAGCCCCCTCTACTAGTGTGACCTTGAAAACTTGAACTAGCTATAACAACAACACAGAGTAGAGAATGCACTTGTTTACCAAATAACCTGGAACTGAGCCAGGAAGATTTATTACATGCCTCAGTTGGCTCTGAATGTATGCACAGCAGCCTGAACTGGGGAAAACATTTCTAAACTTTTAGTGATATAACACACAGATTTTTTTCTCTGACATTCCAGGCTTAGCCACTGTCTGAGTTAACAGTCTGCAAAACATCTGGGGTATGTTTCTGGAAAAAATCCTTTGTACGATTCTCTCTGGTCTGATCACTCTAAACTCTGGCTTCTAGAGTCTCTGTAGTCAGATTACCTGTAGGGCTGGGGAAGCTGTCCCACAGCACTGAACATTAACCGAACTGAATATAGTTTAATTTCTCTCCTTAACCATCTATACAGGGCCATATGGGATCAAAGCACAGAGCAGAGAAAGATTCAGGCATAAATCAAATGCACATGTTGTTACTGAAAAATTATTTTCTCTCTAGAAAAATAGAGGCTTATTTTGTCTCAATCCCTGTTTTTCTCTTGTATGATACTCCAGGTCTGTAGGTCAGTGGAAACAGAGCCAGCATCTAAGATTTGAGGAATAAAATTAAGTACAATATCTCACCATTTGGCTTATTCATGGCAACTGAATCTAGGTGGCAAAGAGCTCTCACCATTCTGAGATGTCTTCTGCTACATTTCTCCAGCTAAAAAGCTAGGAAAAAATCTTGAGGATAGATATGCTTACATTACTTGTCTCAGAGAAGTTTTTCTAATAGAATAAGAAATTCTAGATCACCTCAGCATTTTAAGTTTATATCACCTTGGGTGATAATGCCTCTTTTAAGTACAATTCAATCTCTTTATTAATCACTGACCAATTCTTTATTAGGTTTATATCATACTTAGACAAAAAAAGATTTAAGAGGAAAAAAAATATGAACACAAATATTATAAGTGAAGGTCTTCTCATGTTTTGCTGTTTTATTAAAGGAGCAGAGCTTATAGAGAGGGGACAAGAATCTGGTTACTGAGGAGCTTCTATTGTAGAAGACACAGCACCATTAGGAGCACAAAATCTCAGGCAGGACCAGCCACATAATCTGTGGGTCCCATGTTTAAAAATTACTAAGTGGGCTGGAGATGTAGGTCAGTGGTACAGTGCTTTCTTGCCTACCATGCAGAAGGCCCAGGGTTTCATCCCAGCACCACAAAATAACAATAAAACAAATTAACAAAAGACAAATTTCTAAGAAATCTAAGAGAGTGGATAGCAGAGTATTAAACCAAGAGTGGGACCCTATGTGACTACACAGGCCACGTACCTATGAAACTGACCAAACCAGTCTATCTGGGCTTAAATCCTGATTTTGCCATTTACTAGGAATGTGATCCTGGAGAAGTCATCTGTAAAATGGGGATAATAATAGTCTCTAACTCATCAAGTTTTTATTAGTAATATCTGGCATATAGCACATACATTATCAATGTATATAGTAAATAGAGACGGTAGCAGGACTAAGTACAGTCAAAATATCAGAGAAAGCTACAGTTATAACATTGTGAATTTACTTAAACATTTTAAACAGTGTTTTGAATTTAGATTCCTGATAAGTAGAATCATGTTTTTATTACAACAATAGTCACCTTTTAATATATTTTAACAATTAAAAAAGAGATTTAAGAAGATACTGTGGATTGAGGCCAACTACTCATAAAATAAGACTGAAGAATGGAAAAAAAATGCTGGTTTATGCTCAAGGTTCTGGAAGCTTGTGGAGTGCAAATTGTCATGAAGCCAATTTAATATTACTGCTTCCTTTACGCTGAAAGAACTCACTGGGGACATCACTGCTTCCATACAGGAAATAAAGTCTGTTGTTTCTGAAAAAAAAAAAAAAAGAAGAAATATCTTTTTCTTTTCTTTATATAATACAGAAAACTTTTTTTTAAAGCTATAGAACAGGAAATGTTGTTAATCACACAAACTATATTTAGATTGAGGGGAAAAAATACCACTATTTACAGTCAAAAGAAAGCTTGCAGGTAGTACTATATACTTTTATCTAAAATTTACTTGATATACAGAGGCATAAACTTTTGATGGGTACTGTTTATTAATATCTGTCATAAGAGAAGCCTCAGATTCTTCACTGAATTATCTGTACATTTTTTACTCATGATCATCAATAATTCTCAGGACTTACAGAAGACTTTACCATAAACATTTTATGGTAATTATTATTAAATGCAAAATTCTAAAGTAACTTGCCATTTGTCAAACAATTCGCCCCAGATACACAGATTTGGGATACTTCTCCTTAAGAGTTGGCCACTGAACAATGAAGTGATCTGAGAGATGAAACAGAATCTTCCCAGAGAGGGATAAAGTTTCTACTCGGCAGATGCTCTCGACATAGACGATGATCACTTTCTTCACTCCTAGTATTCCAAGAAGAAGGGCAGATATGCAGATAGGAATACATGTTCCTGGTCCATTACACAACACCTTAAAAAAATGGGGAAAGTCAAATTAAAATACAGAAGACTAATTTAAGTGAGGCATTCTGTATTAAGAACAGTCTGATCTTCAAGGGGATTTATTAGTCCAAAAAGTCTTTCCTTGTGAAGAACCAGGATGTAGCAAACTGTGTGTTGAAGCCTCTGCACTGAGGAGCCCTATGGAGATGTACAGTCTTGTTGTTCCTGTTTACCAACTATGTGACTTGGGGCAAATAACTTAACCTCTAACTTCTAGCCCAGTGCCTGGGGCTTACTCAGCACTCAGGGGACAGATGTATGTGTTGCTCTTCTCTGCTTCATGGATCTTGAATGTCAAACAAATAGAATTCTGCTAATTTTATAGAAAGCTAATGGTTAAAAAATAGTTGAATAATCTAACAAGGGAAATAAAAATTCAACTCCTAGAGCAACTGCAAAGAATTTTTATGTCTTTGAGGAAATGAGAGAAAACCTATTTCATAGAATTGCAGGTAAGATAATTTATTACTATTTTCAGAGGAAAAAATTTATGCAATATCTTAATTATATGTTCCTGTTGACTAGATTAGTAAAACCTAATAAAGCATTTTACGTCACAAACCATAAAACAGGAGGTTTGTGGTTGTCTGCAACATGCCTATTGAGCATGATCTAAAATGGCACATGATCTTTACAGTACATAGTCCACAAAACTTATCAGACATCAGAGAATCTAACAGTGGGAAGGGTCTTCAGATACAATGTTTAGCCATCCCAGCATTTTTGGGGTTCTCCCAGACTGACCAATGACAGAGAAACAGACATCCTGACTCCCTGTGAACATGGTCAGAACTATAAAGGTTCGATAAAGGTCATCTGGTCCAGACTCCATGGAGGAACCCATTCACACAGCTTTGGAAAGAGACAGTTATAGGTGGGATCTTTCTATCTTCACTGTAAACCCCCTTTCTTTCATGCAGAACATTTATAGAGCCTTTCTCTTGAATTACAGCAACTCAATGCTGCCTTCCAGACATATCTTTAATTTTCCCTATGATATTTCTTTCTTCTTTTCTTTCTTTCCTCCTCCACCCCCCAACCTTTCCTTTCAAGATAGTGTCTTAACTAACTTGCCCAGGCTGGTATTGAACTGGCAAGCCTTCTGCCTCAGTCTCCTGAGTAGCTGGGAGTATAGGCAGTGCCACTAAGCCCAGCTATAACCTTTGTTAATAGACTTTCAAGATAAGTCATAGAACAGTTGGGAGAGCAGTGTTAGAGAGCAAACTAGTTCTGTGACTTTGGCCAACAGAAGTAATGACAATCACCAGCATTATTTATAAACAACTCACTATGGTCAGTTACTGTACTAAAACACTTTACATGTATTCTAATTAATTCTCATGGAAATCATTGAAACATGTTTTATTAGCTCTTTTTTGCAGATGAGGAAAGTGAGGCACACAGAGATTGGGCAAGTTGCTTGATCACATGTTTAGGAGATGAAGAAGCTACATTGCTTCAGGGCACTTTTTTTCCTATGTGAATCAGTTATCCTATCTAAAAAACCTAGGTGGGGTGGGATGGGTGGGGGGGACTAAACTAAAATAACTTCCCCGATAGTTTCAGGATTCAATGATTCTATAATTAATTTGCATCTAATTTGTCTTATGTCTCAATTTCAAACTTGCTCTAAATTCTTCAAAGCTAGAATTCTGAAAATGAGGACATTCTGGACTATGTAGGTAGTTTGTTTTTAGTGTGAAGCCTGTCCAGTGCATCACAGGATGTTTAGCAGCATCCCTGGCCCTTGTCCACAAGATTCCAGTAGTCGAGACAATCAAGAATTACTCCAAGCACTGCCAAATGTCTCTGGTTGACAACCACTGTATTAATGTATTTCCTAATCCTTGGATTATTTGTGTTGCTCTTCTCAATCTTCTTTTTAATAGTACAGAACAAAATAAAAACTACAGCTAAATAAGAATATAAGGACTGCTTGTTGAATCTTGAATGTCACAAAAATATTTTCATATTTACTGCTTTTTAAAAATGTATATATCCATATGTGTTCACCTCAACAACTGGCTGACCCCCTATACACAAGCTATATATATACTGATGAAGATGATGGTACACGATTGGGTATTGGTGGGAGATACATCAACAACCTGGGACAGAACAAAAGTAGAAACTGTTAAGGTAAAAGTAGAAATTAAAAGTATTTTTTTCTTGTTTATCTCAGTTGTATGTTTCCATATTTTGAGGAACTTTACTATGAAAGTCCCAGCTACAATAAAACCACAGAATCACAAATCAAGAATTGAAAAAAAAAGAGGCGGGTAGATGTGTATGTAGTTCGTAGTAGAAAACTTGTCTAGCATGCAGTGCATGATCCTCAGCACTATCAGAAAGAAAAAAAAACAACTAATCTTAAGGAAAACCACTTTTAATTAAGCACAGGTTTTAACTCTGAGTTGCAGAAGGCAAATTAAATAAAAAAATGTGGGTTGTAAAGTTTTTGTTATTCAAAGAAACATACCAGAGCGACTTAGTCCAAGCATCGAACAAAAATGTTCATTGAGACAGCCTGGGTAAAGATGATGTTAAACAACATTAAGGTTGGATATGTCTCTTTAGTTTTATTAAACAAAACAATGCAATTTTTCTTCATATTTTCATTTCTGAAGACATACATTCTTAATGAATACAGGACCACTGCCCTGGCCATCTCTCTTCCTCATTACTCTGTAAGCTACTTATAGATAGGGTCCCTTTCTAGAACAATCTATACTCTGCATGTAGAACAAAATAGGCTGGAAAAAAAAAAAGTAAGGATAGAAAAGAGCAAGTTGGTAATAAAACAGAGAATCTTTCTTTGCCTATCCTATATGGAGTCCAACACCATCCCTCCTTTGATAGACCATTTGAAACTCTACCATATATACTTAACATAAACACCTGACTGCCATAATGTCTGTTAACTCACAGTTTTTTTTTATTTATTCCTTCAGTCATCTCACATCTGAACACCTTTTTCTTACGAGAACCACTACATCCCTGGCTCCCAATGTAGGTGTTCCAATCCTCATCTGACCAATATGAGAGGACATATGACTCCTGTCTGACCAATCACAGCATCAAAAGTCTCCAGTTCAGGGAAGAGTACATAATCCAGTCAGAAACTCATACACTTAGTAGGCCATTTCCTGGGGCTTCTGAGAGAGCAGCACCTTTTTTTATTGGTTTGGAACCCAGGAGGATGTGGACCTGGCACTGTTAACATTTTGCTTGTGACCATGTGGAGAGCTTGAAAATGAAGCCATTACAAAGCAGAGAGCAGAGAGATAAAGACAGGCCATGTCTAAAAGGCAGTATTTAAGATCCATGAACCCAGCTGTGCTTGAAGGAAACCAGATCTCTCTGTGGACTTGTCAGGTATGTGAGGGAATACATTCCATTTTTGCTTAAGCCATTCTGAATCAGGATTCCTGTCACTGGCAATAAAGAGCATACTAATTGACACAGTTCTTTGTCTACCTCTGACTGGCATCTGACCATCTGTGACACTAACCAGTAGGTATTCAATATGTATCTGTTGCATGAATTGTCAAATCAATAAATAAACTTCTCCCAGAGCGGGAAGTCTAAGAGATGTACTAAAGATAATGTAAGTCGTGGATCTAGAAAACAGGAGGACAGGGGTTACGTATTACAAACAGGAAGTCAGGGTTGTAGATGAAGACAGATCAAGGATTAAGAACATTTATAACAGGACTGCTGTTCTGTAGATTTGGGTCACCACAGTTCAAGTCCCATTGGCTGAAACATTTGCATGTATGAAAAGACATATTTAACTTGAATAGTCTGAACTAAATTCCTTATACAGAAGAAACCCTCCCCCCACCCCCCCTTACAGAATCTGGGCCAAGACTTTTGAGATCAGGGTTGGTTATAGGTCAGAGATCATGTACTTGAAGATGAGCCAAGAGAAAACATGGGAAGGTGAGGCTAATAGCCATGCAGAGCAAAACTAAAAATACTGGATAAAAGTAAGACAATCATCCATTTTGGTCTCTTTATCTTCCAGCCATATGTTTTCCCTGGTTGATCAACTCCAAGTGATACTTGTATGAAAAATGATAAAAGGCACTTGATTTCCAAGAACAATATTTTCTAAATTTCCACAGATGGTAGATGACTGAAGGATTCAGGAGCTTTCTCAGTTCCTTATCTGTGGTGCCTTTGTAGTGTACTTCTCAGCCTGTAACCAAATAGCCTTGAAAGTCTATGGCCATAACATGATGAACAAGCCTGATCTTGTTAATTTCAAACGGGCTATTTTGCTCTTATATGGGAAACAGGGCCCATATTAAGTCGGTAGTTCATTTCCTTACCCTGAAGTTCTATCATAAAAAATAAATAAAAACTTAAAACTTTTTTTGTCAGAAGGGTCAGCACAGTGACTCTGGAGACTGAAGTGGGAGTATCACAAGTTTGAGACTAGCCTCAACAATTAGTGAGGGCTCAGTGGTAAAGTACTCCTAGATTCAATCCCCAGTTCCAAAAAATAAAATTAGACCATGCCTGCTTAGCATTATTGTTAAAGACCATTGTCAGGCAAACCATTGTTTTCCCAACCTTCTACTTTCAGTTGAGGAAACTCAATCTTTCAGTTTTCCTGTTCTCTGAACCAAATGGTCCAAGTGACGATTTCCTGCCTTCTTGGTCTTTTTTTGTTTGTTTTCATTGTAATTTCAAGCCACTAAAATGTTTTCACCAAGGTCTTTGAACCCTACAAATCCAGTATTTCTTCCTTTTGTTTTCTCCACGCTCTATATTAAGCAGAGCTCTCAGAAGCAGAGATCTAAAGCTAGATGCAGTCTCAAAGAATCATATAGTTCAATCTACTCCCTTTAGGTTGAGGAGGAAGGAAAAAGATTGACATTTACTGGGCACCACTACTTGCTAGGCACAGAGCCTAAAGTGAGGCATTTTGCATAATTATAGTAGTTTCCCTTTTATCTGTGG